TTTTTTTTTTTTTTTTTTTTTTTTTTTTTTTTTTTTTTTTTTTTTTTTTTACATTTCTTCAGCATATCATAGACAGAACATGTTTCAGAATCAGCTTTGACTGTGGAGTTCTTTTGTTACTATGGATATTACTTTTTAGTAGAATTTTGAGGCATCATTAGGAATGACATCCGGAGGATTTACATGTATGATGGGAAAACTTTTTACTGAATTTCTTTCAACAGTTCCTTACAACTTGAACTATGATTTTTGAGGCATCATTAGGAATGACATCCGGAGGATTTACATATATGATGGAAAAACTTTTTACTGAATTTCTTTCAACAGTTATTACAACTTGAACTATGATTTTTCGCTCTGGTCCCGTATGTGAATCCAGATACTGGGATTGAATTTTCTGTGCTGAAGTCATCAGTGTAATTTTGCAGAATGCGCAATTCTTTGAGCCCAATTCTGCTATATGTAAAGTCTGCACCAAAGATGCTTCATATATTGTAAGGTTGGATGTTTTTGCTTTTCACCAATTTCTTTTATGCCCCCATTAGCTTCTCTTCAATTGCAACTCTGATCATCTATGCTACTATTGTTAGGTGTTCTGTTAAAGGTTCTCTATTGGAAGTTAATGATCGCTTGATGAAGCAGCCAGAGTTGCTCAAAAATGTGGTGAGCATGACCTTTCAATTTAATGGCCGATACTGTGGGTTTGGGAAAGCCTTGTTGTTCTACGTTACTAATATTTGTTCGATCAGTTGTTTCCCATGTTTCTGTTTTTAGTATTGTCGTGATGATTAGATCATTACCTTAAATTATGTCGATTTTAGTGTTCATTGCTGATTCACTTGCCTCGAGAGGAAAAAAACAATAATCATATTATTACAGGCTCACAGAGAAGGCTACATTGCTATTGTTATGCCAAAGCCAGCAGATTGGGTGAAAGTTAAGGAGTCATTGCTGAGCCTCGAAGGGTACAAACGATTGAGAGAAGTGTAGCTGCACCCAATCATTCGTCGCATATAAGTAACTTTCAGATTTCTTGCTTCCTCCTCCTTTTTAACCCGACAGCCACCTCTATTTGTCTATTTGATTTTGAAATTGAGATATTTTTAATTTAAGTTTAGTTAGCGGAATATTATTAAAAGTTGGTTAGATATTGAATTGAGATGAGTTCAAAATTAGATAGATAATCTTGGTTTGAAATCTTTTAATCTTTGGTTTGAAATCTAGTTCGAAATCAATCTTTTGGAGATTATCTGAGTTCGAATCCAATCTCTTTTGGAGATTATCTGAGTTCGAATCCAATCTCTTTTGGAGATATTATCTGAGTTCGAATCCAATCTCTTTTGGAGATATTATCTGAGTTCGAATCCAATCTCTTTTGGAGATATCATCTGAGTTCGAATCCAATCTCTTTTGGAGATTATCTGAGTTCGAATCCAATCTCTTTTGGAGATTATCTGAGTTCGAATCCAATCTCTTTTGGAGATATCATCTGAGTTCGAATCCAATCTCTTTTGGAGATATCATCTGAGTTTGAATCCAATCTCTTTTGGAGATATCATCTGAGTTCGAATCCAATCTCTTTTGGAGATATCATCTGAGTTCGAATCCAATCTCTTTTGGAGATTATCTGAGTTCGAATCCAATCTCTTTTGGAGATTATCTGAGTTCGAATCCAATCTCTTTTGGAGATATCATCTGAGTTCGAATCCAATCTCTTTTGGAGATATCATCTGAGTTCGAATCCAATCTCTTTTGGAGATATCATCTGAGTTCGAATCCAATCTCTTTTGGAGATATCATCTGAGTTCGAATCCAATCTTTTGGAGATTCTCTGAGTTCGAAATCCAATCTTTTGGAGATTCTCTGAGTTCGAAATCCAATCTTTTGGAGATTCTCTGAGTTCGAAATCCAATCTTTTGGAGATTCTCTGAGTTCGAAATCCATCTTTTGGAGATTCTCTGAGTTCGAAATCCATCTTTTGGAGATTCTCTGAGTTCGAAATCCATCTTTTGGAGATTCTCTGAGTTCGAAATCCATCTTTTGGAGATTCTCTGAGTTCGAAATCCATCTTTTGGAGATTCTCTGAGTTCGAAATCCATCTTTTGGAGATTCTCTGAGTTCGAAATCCATCTTTTGGAGATTCTCTGAGTTCGAAATCCATCTTTTGGAGATTCTCTGAGTTCGAAATCCATCTTTTGGAGATTCTCTGAGTTCGAAATCCATCTTTTGGAGATTCTCTGAGTTCGAAATCCATCTTTTGGAGATTCTCTGAGTTCGAAATCCATCTTTTGGAGATTCTCTGAGATCGAAATCCATCTTTTGGAGATTCTCTGAGATCGAAATCCATCTTTTGGAGATTCTCTGAGTTCGAAATCCATCTTTTGGAGATTCTCTGAGTTCGAAATCCAATCTTTTGGAGATTCTCTGAGTTCGAAATCCATCTTTTGGAGATTCTCTGAGTTCGAAATCCATCTTTTGGAGATTCTCTGAGTTCGAAATCCATCTTTTGGAGATTCTCTGAGTTCGAAATCCATCTTTTGGAGATTCTCTGAGATCGAAATCCATCTTTTGGAGATTCTCTGAGATCGAAATCCATCTTTTAGAGATTCTCTGAGATCGAAATCCATCTTTTAGAGATTCTCTGAGATCGAAATCCATCTTTGGGAGATTCTCTGAGTTTGAAATCCATCTTTTGGAGATTCTCTGAGTTTGAAATCCATCTTTTGGAGATTATTTTATAAATAAAATTATAAACTCAGGATCATTTCTTAAATTATAAGATTATAAACTCAAGATCATTCCCTAAAATTTGAATTTAATCTTTTGAAATTATATAATATTATCCAAAATAGCTTTAATTTATTATAAACTCAGGACCCTTTCCTAAATTATGAATTTAATTTTTTGATATTATATAATATTGTCTAAAATAGCCTTCATAAACTCTGGATCTATTTCCTAAATTTTGAATTTAATCTTTTGATATTATATAATATTCTAAAATAGCATTATTGATTATAAATTTAGGATCACTCCTTGAATTATGAATTTAATCTTTTGATATTATATGATAGTCTAAAATAACATTCATTGATTATCCCAAAATTATGATTCTATTCTTTCCTAAATTAGATAAATTAGAGTGTAAATGATCCTTCCCTAAATTAGATGTGAGACTTTCATCTACACAATAATTAAAGGGTTATTGAGGTCCCTCGATTTTGTTCGATGGACATGTAACGATTTATCTATTTAATTCCAATAGAAAGTTTGTGACGACTTACCCAATAATTACAAAGGTTCTGAG